CACTGAGGTATCTAAGAAAGCTTGCGTAATCCATAGTATGACAACCAATAGGATTTTGGTACTTGATACTGGCAGTAATACGAAGGACTCAAAGTTCAAAACTCTTACGCAGAAAGAAAAAATTCAAATAATGCATATCTGTCAGTGTCGTATGAGGACTTTCCCCCAAGGACAACCGCGCTGCTGTAGAACAAGGAACCATCTTCCAGACAAAACAAAATTAACAAATAAAACTTACAGCATCCTCTCTTTTCTCGTCTTCTGTACGATAGTCCACCTCCTCCGTTTCTTCGACGACATTACTTTCCTGCTCCTTCTCCTCATTTCTCTTTTGTCTAAATATTGGCTCACCATCAAATTTTCCACTGCCTCTTCCATTTTCGTTTTCATCCTCGCTGCTGTCCGAATCCTGAAACAGTCAACAAAGTTTCAAAACCGCTAGATCAATCCTCGAAAAAGTTTAAAAACAAAGTCCTAGGAATTCCGAGCGCTCTGAATTTACTGATTTATCAACAAAGACAGTGTTAAATGAATATTTTGAGATAGAAATTTAAAAATTACAAATTTTCCTAATCCCTTGGCGGCACGCCGTGCTTTTGCAGCCTCTTCGGCAGCTTTCATTTTTGCTTCTCTTATCAGCCTTTTTTGCTTTTCTTGCTCAGCCTTTTCCAAGCCTTCTCGGATCCAAGCCGGCAATGCTTTTCGCGTTTGATGATCTGGAAATATTATTCTGATCAAATACTCAAAGTCAGATGGTATGTACAGAAAACTCTGCGGACATTTAAAGACAAACTTGCTCGAGATCAGTTTTTCGGTCCGCCGAAAAATTGACGGAGAAATCTAATAGGAAACGTAGTTTTCAGGTTTTACAGCAGATGACACGCTCAAAAAAGTGAAGTTATAATGACGCAATAAAATTGTAAATTAATACGTCTGCTGTGTTGTTCTGAACAAATCTAAAGCTTCGAGAAACCATTTTGCAAAGAAAGGTTCCTTTCCAAGATGAATTCATCGCCAAACTACTTCAAAAAACTGTTAAACTAACCAATGAAATTATTAGCCGAGGGAGAATGACGATGAGAATGGCGACCCCAGTTAGGCGGTGGAGCCCATCCTGGAGGACCTGGTGCAAGCCAATGAGCCATCGCGCCTTCTGGAATTATTTCAGAATCTTCCGCATCAACTTCACGATGGCCTCTTCTCTGTTTCTCTTCCCACTCTTTGTAGTAATGTGAATACTGCAAAAAACCATAAATAAGGTACTGAATATAATTATGGCTAATGCAGAGGGAATCGTGGCAAGATGGAGGGAAAAACGGCAGACGAGAGATGCTCTCTTCCCCTGTGAGGCGAAGGGTGACTGCAGTTCTGTTTCCCAAATTAGCATTAAATCAGCATATCCTATGCCCACCACTCTCATTATTCTTATTACTTATTATAATTATTGGTGATGCGCATCGGGCGGGCCCGCGCGCTCATGTGTTTTTGCAGTGTTTCGTGCTGCAGTGAGATCGCTCGGTAACCCAGTAGCTAAAAATGTGTGACATACCGGCCCTCGAATTTTGGGAAGTCAGCTGTCTACGATGGACTTGGATAGGGAACATTCCCTAAAAATTCCAGCCTCCCAGCTTTCCCAGTTCCCGAGTTACCCTAATTCCCGCCAAAAACATTCACGGGGCCGTACTTGGCAACCACGCATGCGCGGGGGCTGAGTTTGATAAATTTGAGTTTTACATGAGCTTGGAACATTCTCTGAAAATTCCAGCCTCCCAGCTTTCCTGGTTCCGGCATTAGCGATTTTCCCGCCAAAAATCCTCACGGGGCCGCACGTCATAATCATGCAACTGGGGGCTGAGTTTGATAAATTTAAGTTGTATCTAAACTGGTTCCAGCTTTCTAGTTTTCTCGAATCCCAATTTAGCGATTTTCCCACCAAGAACCTTCACGGGGCCGTGTGTGAAAACCATGCATGCCTGGAGGCTGAATTTGAAATCTTCGTGTGCTATGTGGACGGGAAGTATAACTGTAGAGTTTCAGCTTTCTAACTTCTCTGGCTCCCGAGTTAGCGATTTTCCCATCAAATCTTTGAGGGGCTCGTATGCGGGACCTAAACGTGCGTGAGGGTCGGTACAGCGGTCCTGAGGTGGCACTTGGTCGAGGAACCCATTGGCTAAATTTTGGCGCCGGAACTTGCTTGGGTGAAATATCCGAACAGACGCATACACACAC